CACGTAGATCTAATCGGAAAGAAGAAGAATAAGAAAAAGGAGGGGAAGGGAGAGAGAAAACGATGGCCACTGGCCGAGAAAGGAAGGGAGAGAAAGAAGAAAAAGAAGAAAAAGAGGGGGGAGTGAGAGAACTTGATGAAGTGATTTTGCTGAGAAAAGAAAGGGAGAAAGAAGGAAAAGGAGAGGAGGAAGAAATGAAGAAGAAGATAATTGGGAGAAGAAAAATAGAAGGGGGAGGGGGAAGAGAGAAAGAACGAGAGAAAGAAGAAAAAGAAAGGGAGGGGGTGGCCAGGTATGCGAGAAAAGAGGGGGAGGGGGGAAAGAAGAAAAAAGAAAAGAGGAAGAAAGAAAAGAAGAGAAGAAGGGGTATTTTAGGAAGAGTGAGTATGAAAATGTAGAATGGAAACTTAATTTCCGGACGGAGAAAAGCGTAGAGTGTGAACTTAAAATCCGGACGGAGGGAGTAGTTAAATTGAAAGATCTCATTTGAATACAATAAATTATAGTGTTGGTTGAATTTGTAGAAATTTATAGTGTATTTGTTTTCAATTTCAATGTTTAAACTTTTTTCTTATAAAAAATATCTACCCTTATTACAAGCGGTATTTTTGAAAAATCAAACATATAAAATGCGAACGTATACGTATACGTACTCTGAATGTATAAAACATATGATAAGACGTATTTTAAAAATTTGATCTGTATTATACATGAATGTACGAATAAACTTATTATACCTGTATCCGAATAAGCTAAAAGAGCTTTGACAACAAATTAAAAATAACAATAAAATTTGGTGTATATCTCTTTGGTGTACGCTACTTGCACAACAAATAATTTTTAATTATTAAAACACATAAAAAAATGTAAAAAGTGACAAAAAAAATTACTTGCCACTGCAATGTTTATCACTTCACTCATATACAGCTTGCTGACTCGACTATTTTTTATTAGTTAAAATATGCTCCTCTGTTTAAAAATTAACTTCTCAGTTTGACTTTTGGAGTCAAACTTTGACCGTAGATTACTGAAAAATACATTGAATTTTTATATAAATTCATTAGTAATAGATTCATTTTGAAACATTGTTTTGAAATATATAATTTTTATAAAATATATTTATATAGTAATTGAGATATATTGATGGTCAAAGTGTCGCATTAGAGAACGTGAAAAATCAAATAGGAAGTTAATTTTAGAACGAAGGAATATCACGCCTGACATTCGATTTTTGTTTCATCATTGCTCATTCTCTAAAGAGTAAATTCTATAATTGGTCCTTTATAACAGGGGAGTTTCCCTATATAGTCCTCTATTATCAAATATTACCCAAGTGGTCCTTTTTTTATGGGTATCTTTCCACAAATAGTCCTTTTTTTGATCTTCTATCATGTTTGTGTTAATTTGAGAGCTAAAAGTGTAATTTCACAATGATAATATATCTTTTTTGTCATACACAATTCCAAAAGCTGTTCCGTTTGCGTCGTTTGTAAATTAAGTCGCTTTTTACGACAATTATAGTCTACAAATGTGATCTTTCGTCAAAATCCTAGCACACAATCATAGTCATTATTTTTGTGTTATCCGCTTAACCAATATCAGAACACGTCACTAGACATAATGTTGACGTCAAATTATACTTTTAGCCTTTAAATTAACACCAACACGGCAGAAGATCAAAAAAAGGATCATTTGTGGAAAGGTACCTTTAAAAAAAGGACTACGGTGATAATATTTGATAATAGAGGACTAAATATAGAAACCCCATGTTATAAAGGACCAATTATGAAATTTACTCTTCTCTAAAAATAACCCCACAATGGTATATATCTGGAAGCTTCTCTCCTCCTTCCCCTGACTCACTCATCAATAAACCTTTCTGCTTATCACAAACCATTTTGCATATCATTTCCAGAATTCGCATAGTCAATGTAGCTTATCTCTTTTGTTTTAGATTTTCTCCCCCTTCAGACATGATTTTCAGATAGGCAGTCTGGAAGGCGGCGCTCAAGTCTGAACTCTGAACTCTGAACTCGAACACTTCCGTTTCATATTTGCTTTTTATTTTTGCGGCTAGCGGGTGCTGTTTCATTGAGAGAGCATATATAATGAATGGCGAGGGAACCTCCTTGGTGGCGTTAGCCGCAGCGGCGGGGGATAACGCCGCCCCGGATTCTCAGTCCAAGATTTTCGGGAAGTACGAGCTGGGGAAGCTGCTCGGTTGCGGAGCTTTCGCGAAGGTTTATCACGCCCGTGCCGTCATGACGGGGCAGAGCGTCGCCGTGAAAGCCGTGAGCAAACGGAAGATTCTCAAGGGCGGCCACGCGGAGCACGTCAAGCGGGAGATCTCTATCATGCGCCGGCTGCGCCACCCGCATATCGTGCGCCTCTTCGAAGTCCTCGCCACGAAGAGGAAGATCTATTTCGTCATGGAGTTCGCCAAGGGCGGGGAGCTCTTCGCCAAGGTCGCCAAGGCCCGACTAAGCGAGGATCTCAGCCGTAAGTACTTCCAGCAGCTCATCTCCGCCGTCGGTTACTGCCACTCCCGCGGCGTCTACCACCGCGATCTCAAGCCGGAGAACCTGTTGCTGGACGAGAATTGGGACCTCAAAATCACCGATTTCGGGCTAAGCGCCGTGACGGATCAGATCCGGCCAGACGGCAGGCTCCATACCCTGTGTGGCACTCCAGCCTACGTCGCCCCGGAGATCCTGGCGAAAAACGGTTACGACGGCGCAAAGGTGGACCTGTGGTCGTGCGGCGTCATCCTTTTCGTGCTCAACGCTGGCTATCTCCCATTCAACGACACCAATTTAATGGCCATGTACCGGAAGATCTACAGAGGAGACTTCCGGTGCCCGAAATGGACATCGCCGGATCTGAAACGCCTCCTCCATCGTCTCCTGGATACAGATCCGGAAACCAGGATCACGGTGGACGAAATCAAATCCGATCCGTGGTTCCGGAAGGGATTCAAAGAGGTAAAACCCCAAACGGATTTCGAATTCGAGTTCAAATCTGCCTATGGAGACAACAAGAAATACCTAAACGCATTCGACCTCATCTCGTTTTCCCCCGGATTCAACCTGTCGGCGTTGTTCAGCATAGTCGACACCGAGCGGCTCTTGTCGGCACATCCGCCGGAAAATATCGTCGACGGGATTGAGAAGATAGCCAGGGCGGAAGGGATGAGGGCGACGAGGAAGAACGAGGAGGGGGTAAGGGTGGAGGGGCATAATGGTAATATCATAGTTTTCGTAGAGATTTACCGACTGACGGTAAAGCTGGTAATTGTGGAGGTTAAGTATCCGCGCTGGGGGGATGCATCTGGACGGGAAGTGTGTATAGATAAGTTTAGGCAACAGCTTAAACTTTTTCGTTATCAACAGGAAGTAGTAGCTCTCTAATCATCATTAGCTTTGATTTAAATCATTTTTTATGAGTAGAAAAGTGTTGTCTGGTGATAAATCTTTTAATCTCTGAGGATTACGGAGGACTCCATAATCAGTAATCATAATTATAGATGATCATTACTCTTAAATCAATACTAATACACTTGCTCGGATATGAAATTATGAATAGTGATTTTGAAAGTGACATTAGTACGGAGTTTTTTTGGAAATGAAAAAAAATCATGTATTCATCTCCTTTTTAATGATCACAAATTATTTTATGTGTGAATTTTAATAAAAAATTATGTAGTTTTAAATAATTTTAAAAGGACCATGCTAGGGTGCCACCACATGGGTGCTACCATGGGTGCACCCATGTGGTGGCACCCTAACATTATTCATTTTAAAATGAGAATTTAAACCATAAATAGTTTTTTAAGTTTTTGAATATTTTGTTCGTGACCTAGTATTGCCTTTTCGAGAGATAAAGGTTTGGTTCACAAACACAAAGATCACAAATTTCATAAATTTATTATTTGTAAATTTTAATAAAAAAAAATTGTGTTTAATTAGATAATAGAAAATTAAATAATGCCATGTTTTGTGAACTATTTTTAAAGATAATAATAATATTATCACATAACATAAATATGCATGTTATTTCTAAATAGTAAGAAGCATATAATCCCTTCGTCTAACTTTAATCTTCCTATTTGGACTGGATACGTTTGTTAAAGAAAGATGTTAATGTCATTTTCAATGCTAAATAAAAATATTTAAATTTGTATTCTTTTTCTTCTCCATGTTACTTTCAATGTCATTGTTCATATATATACTCTTTCACACTTTTAATATTTTATTATAATTAGTACATATTTCTTCATTTCATAGATGATAATATTTATTTAAATATAAATTATAAATTATTATTTTAATCTAAAAAATAATATTTATTTTAAAAATGGTTAGAAGTTCTTTTTTTTAATTCACTCAACTCAAATAAAAACAACTATATATACTATTTTGCATGGCTTTAGTAACAAGTGTTTGATAGCTTGAGTAGTTATAGCCTTAGAGAGTAATGTAATGAGGTTTGGAGTTTAAATCCTATCTCCTAGATTTTATTTTATATACAAACACAGAAAAACAAATTTTCGGACAAAACCCGCGAGTTGGGCGGGTCAACCAGGTCCGCTGAGTTTGCCAGGTGTGCCGGGTATGGGCAGATCGATACAAACTCGGGTTTCATAATTGAGCCAAAACAGAATGCTCTCTAGTTCACAGTAGACTGGTTGGACGGACCAGTCCGGTCCGATTCTAATAACATTAAGTCTTACTAGTCTATTTTACAAAAGTATTACCATTGCCCTCTAATCAATTTGTTTACAAATTGATTCATCAAAAAACTAAAGTAATATATTAAAAAATTACGTCAAAATTTCTACATACAAAATAGGATTGATAATAATATTTTATTTTATCAAATAATGCATAAAAAAATAATAAATATTGAGATGTGAAAAAAAATTGCAATCAATTTCAAGAGTGAGGAAGTATAGAACAAAAAATGAGGTAAGCCAAACATGAGTTGTTGCTTCGGTGATGATTATCATTTGGTAGTAGTCGACATTGGACCAATGTGGATATTCGATTTGTGGTCCCCCAGTAGGTCCGGAGTTCGGACCAATACCCTGTGAGCTGTCTCTTTGTTGTGTCTTGTCTAATACAGCAATGTACTCCGTACGTCGTCGTTCTTATCAGAATGAACCTCCTTTCATTTCATCCATTTTGTTATCAATGCGGGTGAGAGCAAAACCATGGTCGGTTAGGCTATCAATAATTCAATACCGCTCCATCACCTCGCTCTATATCAGCACTCATTGAGTGTCAAATTAATATAGACCATGCTATACTTACACCAAAAAATATACCCTATTTGTACACAATAAGTTTGCATAAACATTTCGATGGTTTACACCGACACAAGTGTTGGTGCGTTAATAAAAATTCACACGGACACAAATGTTGGTGCGTTTAACAAAAATTAGTTTTACACCAACACAACGTGTTGGTACAAAATTAAATTAAAATAAAAAAATCGAGATAGATAAGTGGTAAAAAGAATAAATTTTTATTCTTTTATAAAAGATACTCCCTCCATCCCCAATTTAATTACAAATTGCGGGTTACAGAGTAAAATTTCTACTTTTTGAAATTATTTTATTTACAAATTGGTATATCAATAAGATATAAAAATTACATATTAAAAAATTACGTCAAAAGTTCTACAAAACAAGAGGTGACAAGAATATTTTATTTTATCAAATACTTAATGAAATTGCATAAACAAACAAAAGTTATCGAGAGGAGAGAGAAAAAAATTATAATCTATTTAGGGACGGAAGGAGTAATAATTTAATTCGAGTAAAAATAGATAAGTAGTAAATAAAAAATAAAAGTGTATTGATTACACTAGAAGTAAGAGAGATGGAATAAGATGGAAGTAAGAGAGATGGAATAAAAAGCATAGATTTACAAAGATTGATATAGACCTAATGAGTCCATTTGAGCTGAAATACTTGTATGAGGGGATTGAGGGCAATATAAATCCTGTTAGTTTCTTCTACAATGCTCCGGGGAAGAAGCCGTCAGATGGGTTAATGGAGATTAAATGTGACTCAGATATGTTGACATTTTTAAGAGCTCATGAAGGGTTAGGGATTGCTACTGTCTATGCTGAGAGTGACCAAAGTGGAAAAGTACTTGCAGATAAAACTTTGTTGGCAGTTGGGGATGAATCAAACAAGGCATCAAGAGATCTACATGTTGAACATGGTGTAAGAGCGAATGAACATCCAAAATGCTAGTGGGGGTTTTGAATGTATTGTTGAATAGGAAATTGATTGGGAGGAATTGATAATCAGTGGTGATAAATTCTGTGACTTTGAATATTCTGGATAAACAAGAGGGAAAACATTTACCTCAATGCTTAATGGAAACATTTCAATGGATAACCTTGAAGGGGTAAGTGATTTTAAAGATGAGACCTATGTACAATCAGGTGAGGAAGGTTTCGAATCTGAAATTGATGATCATGAGGTCCCTGATGAGGCATACGAAGGGATAGAGGGTTCGAGTGATGAAGATTGTGTTACAAATTAAAAGGTCAAATGATGAGAGCACTAACAAGAAAATATACAAAAAAATGAAGCAAAATTGGAGAAAAAAGTTGAAGTTGAGAAAGAAAGTTGTTATAGATGAGCAAGAAGAAGCCAAAAGAAACAAGTGGGCTTCAAGTGATGAAGAGGAGAATGATGACATGCTGAATGATCCATTTGACAATAATTTTACAGTTTGGAGAGAAGGTACAAAACCCAAGAATACAGAACTGAATGTTGGTTTGCAGTTTAAGCATATGAAGCAATTTAAGGAAGTTTTTAATGATTGGTGCATTAGGAAGGGTATTGACTACTGGTGGAAGAAGAATGAGAAAACTAGAGTGGGAGATGTATGTGCATTTAGAGACACTAAACTTTGTGATTGGGATTTTTATGCATCAAGGGTAGGTCGCACCAAAACTTTCCAAGTGAAGTCAGTCAAAGGAGCACATAAGTGTGGCAAACAAATTGACAATAAACATGCTAACTGGAAGTACATTGGTAAGAGGATTGTTAAGCATGTGCAGAAAAACAGAAGTGAGAAAATAGCTGAGCTGGTTGTGAAAATTGGAAAGAAAGTGGGAGTAAATGTAAGGCCTGCAGAGCAAGACAAATGGCATGTGAAATACTGGATGGGAATGCTGAGGAGCAATATGCACTTCTACGAGATTATGCTGCCACAATTCTTGCTACTAATCCTGGCAGTGTGTTTAAAATTGGTGCATCTCAATCATATGATGGTGGTGTAAGGTTTGATTGCTTATTTTATATGTTGGCTGCGTGCAAGGATGAGTTCTTAGTTGGTTGCAGGATTTTGATAGGTTTAGATGAGGCTTTCTTGAAGACCAGATATGGGGGGCAAATGTTGTGTGCAATAGGTAGAGATGGAAATGAAAACCTATTTCCTATTGCTGTAGCTATCGTACGTACTGAAAACGGAGAAACTTGGAGTTGGTTTTTGCAGGAATTGCATAATCAAATTGGGAGCCCTTATGAAAAGGGTTGGTGTTTCATCAGTGATAGGCAGAAGGGATTAGTTGAGGTGTTTGAGAAAGAGTATGAAGGTATACATCACAGATTTTGCTTGCGCCATATGTATGCTAATTTCAGAAAAAGATTCCCTAGTTTGGAGATGAAAACTCTGTTTTGGAAGCTAGCAACAACTGGAAAGAAAAAGTCATTCTAAAGATACCTGAATGAGATGAAAGAGCTGGACCCAAAGATTGGAAATCAAAAAACTGCTGCTGAATACATGCTCAATGAACCCAAAAATTGTTGGGCCAGATCCCACTTCCCTTACCATGCTAAGTGTGGCATACATGTTAACAATGTTTGTGAGTTGTTTAATAATTACATGCTTTAAGCGAGAGACAAACCTCCTATTACATGTCTCGAAGAGTTTAGGACAAAGATGTGCAACAGATTTCAAATCAAGAGGATGGGTATGGAAGTATATGAAGAAAGATTCTGTCCTGCTATCATGAAGAGAGTTGCTGATGCTACTAAAGCTACAAATAGTTGGATAGCCAGGTGGACTTGTTGCAAACAATCACATGGTACTTGGAAGTCGAAGAGGCCTCGCCATCTTCAAGTTGGAAGAAATTGCTTCATATTGTCTCCTTGTCTCCTTCTTCACACGGTAGTTGGAAGTCGAAGAGAAAGATGCCATGGTCTGAAGAAATATCCAGTAGATTGAAAAGGGCGACTTCTTCACTTCTTGGCTAAATCAAGAAGATAAATTTGGGGAGGGTATTTTTGAGAATTCCAATGGCCGTTGCAAATCACAGTCGCAATTTTGGTGTGGGAGAAACGCACGTCGGATCTAGGATTGGAGGACCACTGGTGCAATGCTTTGCATATTAGAGCAGTGATTGCTGCACTTCTTATTCTTTAGGGGTAAACCGTGTACTTTCGAAGAAGTTCGGGGGTAATCCGTGCACTTTCCTCTAAAAAGTTATAAAAGATACACCATATAGTTCAAAAATTAAATGGAAAGAAAAACAAACAAA